TCTGTGATTCTGTGAAAGTTGAACAAAAAGTTACTGACATTACTTTGCAATTTTCAAGATGCTATCAAAATACCTTCCAATATCGCCCGTCGTGAGAATCAATGAATCTTTAAGCTCATTATTTCTTGACATTTTGGCATTTGTATAGGCTTCTTTCATTCTTGAAACAAACAGCTGTAACACATGAAAACAAAACAAAACAAAATTTTAGAGTATTTTACATCAGTGAAACAAAAAACATAAGAAGTTAGGAAAAAAAAACAAAATTAAACATCAAATCACCTCTTTTATGAATCCTTCTTCAGAGTCTAAGGACTCTAGTATGTCCTTTATGCAGTCACTGAAAGCCACTCTTACATCTCTGTCTGGATCTTCCATTAGATTTAATAAAGACCCAACAAGAATCTTCACACTGGACTCATCAGTGTTAAAATCCAGATGTTTGCAAAGATGAGGTATATTTTCAATAAATGCTGGGTGGCACGATTTGGAGGGAGAAAGGTAAATATATTTTTAATGCTTTTAAAAAATCTATTGAAGTACACAAAACCAGTGATGCAAGTAAGCCATAAAGCATATTATATATTTTTTTCTCAAAATATTGTTAAACCAGAAAAGCTATTTAAAATTCTGATTGTATCAAGTATTATATTTCTAGATATAGACCAAAATTAATCCAAGGTAGTTAAAAAAGTACATCAGTGACAACATCAAACATTATCAGCAGTATCAACCAAAATACATTTCAAGCACCACCGTAGCTATAAGAAAAAGTAATATAGAAAAAAAGGAATGGATAAAAGTACATAAGTAGTGACTTTGTACCTCATATAGAAATGCAAAATGTTAATAAAGCTGAAGTCACATACCTAGCTTTACTGAACTGGGTTCTTTGTTCTCAAGGAGGATAAGAAATGGCTTGAAAACACAGGCTTGCACATAACAAGTTTTTTCATGAGCAGAAGTCACAGTAAGGCTGCTACACAAAATGTCATAAGTAACATGCTTAATAGCAGAGTCTGCTAAGGAAGGTCGGACACTGAATGCACCAGAAAGACAGCAAGACAATTTTCCAACTATAGCAGCACAAGCCTCCTTGACTAGCTCAGACTCATCTTTGATTTGATTTCTGAAATGGAAACAAAAATGAAACCATTTTAATAGATCATTGACCTAGAAATTTTTATTTCTACATTGTCCAAATTCTCTAACTATGCTAAAACTACTACTAGGGCAATTTACGGACCTGTCTCACCAAATTATTTTTTTCCTTTTCAGATTAACCTCAGGTTCTATTAAATGTCTGATGTAGCACTGGGCCTAACGAGTCCGGCACGTTATAAAGAATGAAGACTAGACACAACAGGACAGAAGACACCAAGACATACATACAAAAGGCAGAGAAATTGCAAAGATTTTAAGAGACATATGGATAAATATCTCATATATTTAACTGACAAAGGTATTTCCTTTTCCTTCCTTAGTTTAAATTAATTAGTTTGATGTGAGGTCTTCAATTAGTGAAGTAATCTGTGTACTGACATGGTAAGTGAATACTATCCTATCATATAGACATTGTCACTTGTGCCTATCCTCTTGATATCTTACAACTCTGGAATCGAGATCTAGCAAACTCTGGATGAAATACAAATGAATATTTATTATGGTGTCTATACTACATTTCTTATTTGTCTGTTTTTCTTCTTGCATGAAGACAGAAAAGCAGCATTAATACGTACAAAAGAGCTTTGGGAATCATACTGCAGGACTGCACACTTTGTGGATGAAGCAGGAGAGAGAATCCTTTAATACAAGTAGCCCGAATTACTTCATGGGGACTTTGTAGTGCCCAATGATAAATGGATTTTCTCCAATCCAGACAAATGTTTCTTGGGAAGAGAGAAAGAAGGAACACACAGTGTGACTGAGTTTGGGGTGCTAAAGAAAAAAACAAAATAAAGCAGATAATTACTTGATTTAAACTTTGCATATCATCAATCATCATAAGAGGACAAAGAAAGTAATTTTACTTTCCAACAATCATTCCAGAAAGTTATTAGGTTTTATATATTTTAACATACTTACAGAAACTCTGTGCAGTTTTTTGACTCAAAACCAGAGGATCAAACCCAAAAGCAGATGGCTTAAAAGAAGAATCATCAGGATGGCTGCAAATCCAGGGCAGAGACAGCAATCCACATAAATTATCAAGAATCTGATTGCTCAGTGGAATTTTCACTAGGGGGAAAATAAACATAACAACAAAAAACCTGATACTTTTACAGGTCTGTACAGCTTATAAAACAGATGCACATTTTATGTTCTTAATTTGCCACAAAATATTATTTTTTTCTATCAAAGGTTAGCAATACTCTTCCCACATGTTGATATCCTATATTTTAGACATATAATAATAAAAGACGTAGTGCTACATCAAAATAGTCTAAAAATTTAATTAAACAGTTAACAGCATGTAATACATGAGCAGCAGAATGAATGTAACTTCAGTATCTCTGGATTTGTACAAAGACTCTCAGGTGGACTTTGGGATGGCAAGTAAGCTGAACTCATAGTAATACCTTAGTCTTATTGGAGTCTGTCCTCCATCCTACTGGCTACTCTTAAAAAACCCACACAAGTACTTAGTATTTCTGGTACATTTCCTGCATGCTACTTTTTCTGAAGCCGCTCAGAAGCTTTGAAACCTTTTGAGTGAAACAGAGATAGCACAGCATGCTGCCTCTGTGAGCTTTCGAAGAAAACTGCTAAAGTTTGTTTCTTATGCATATTCACTATCCCCATGTAGTCTCTTGTTCAGATAAGAATCAACAGTACACACACAGACTCGTAAATCACATTCAAAAACGAATGCAAAGGAAGCTCTCTAAACAAAGAGGAATGCTCTTTTGTTTTTATTTAACCTTTTTGTACAGGAATTGGAGTTCTAACACAAGATCTATAATTTCAGTACCTCTAGCACAACAGATCATTTTAGTCAGATGCATTTCTAATTTACGAATCCAGTAAAAGACACGCTAGTTTAAAGGATTTCTCACCGTGTGCATACAGCAAAGCGTCGAAGATTTTCACTATTCTGTCAATCACTTGTTCCAGGTTAACAATCTGTGTAGCAGCCTCTAACAGGTTTGTGCAGACTTTCACTATTCTTGTGATAAAATCAGAGGAAATCCATGTGAACTGTATATTCACCACTGAATCTGAGGAGCTTTGGGTATTCTTACATGTGTCAAAGTTGCACGGATGAGTTACTTTATGATTTGTACTGTTAAAATAGAAATCATATGATTAGTGCAACAGACTATAAACATTTAATATTGTATTGCTTGTAAGCAAAGTTACTATGAAAATGTACCTCTTCAAAACATACAGGACTTATCCAATACCAATATCCAATCCTGATATCTGGACAAGCATTAAAGTAATCCACACAAATCATAATAAGTTACAAGAAACTAGTGGTCTCATGGTTTCACTTTGGTACCATTACCTGGTAGAATTTCTTGGGGGAGAACAATGAACTATGCACAAAGCAGCTAGTCGCAGAATTACAGCAATCCCTTCTACAGTCTGAAGAATATCTGCTGCCAGAATTTCTTTCTCAAGGATAAATATTAAGGATGCAGCCTTCTTTGTGATGGCATTCCATAGTGTGCTCTTCAATTTCATGTTTACAGGACTAAGTCTGCAATGGGACCATATTAATTATTTTCCAACACTTTTTTTTTTTTTTTTTCTCAGAGAAGACAAATCACCATAGCAAAACAAGAACTAATCCATGTTGGATACAGGATTAGGAAAATACCAAATAAAGCTTTAGCTTAAATGTGCTCTTTAGAAGAACAAGACGTATGCTGTACGACGCAAATCAAACTTACCTGAAAGGCTGCAAGGATATAACTCTACAATGCTTGGAAGGTCATGGTGACCAGAGTGGCACCTTATGACTATAAAAAGGCAAACATTACACCCATCTTCAAGAAAGGCAAAAAGGAGGATCCAAGGAAGTACAGGTCTGACAGCCTAATCTCAGTCTCTGGGAAGGTTATGGGAAAAGTCTTACTTGAACTCATTTCTAGCCACATAAGGGAGAAGAAGGTGACTGGGAACAGCCAGCACATATCTATGAAGGGGAAATCATGACAGAATAACTTGGTTCCTTTCTACAAGGAGACAGGTAACTCTGTGGATAAGAGGACAGCTGCCTATTCAGAGGACCTCAACTGGCTGGAAAACTAGGCTGACGAGAACCTCATGAAGGTCAGTAAGGACTTATAAAAATCCTGCAATTGGCACAAAAAACCCTGTGCAACAGAAAAGGCTGAGGACTGACTGCCTAGCAAACAGCTTTGGAGAAAATGACCCAGTGGACTTGTGGAAAAGTTGAATATAAGACAGTGTGGCAACCTTGCTGCAAAGAAAGTCAACTACATACTGTGCTGTAGTATCAAGAGTGAAGGCTTGATCATGTTTTCACTTATGAGCCCACACCTGGAGTGCAGCATGTTGGAGCGAGTTTTGAGTGCACAAATACAAGAAAAAGATCAACATGCTGGAACATTGTCCGCGATAATCAGGGAGCTAAAGCACAGCACAAGCAGAGGCTGAGAGAACTGGCTTTGTTCATCTGAGGACAACCTGACTTAACTAGAGCTGCTTTAAGCACATCCAGCATGACAGCATAGTCACATACGTGATTCTGTCATTCTATATGCAGTCTCTTAGCTTTTCTGTTTTCAGTGTGTAAAAATGAAAATAATTTGCATTGAACATATTAAAAATACAGTCTCTTCAACTAAAGTTTGTCTTAAAAAATCATCTGTAGATTCTGATCCTTTAAAATATCATTTAGATCTTTTCCCAGAAGATCTTTCAATGTGGCTGTTATGAAGAAACTGCCTCAAAAAGAGATGTCGTTTGTTATTATACACTAGCCAAATTACTATAAAGGTGGTTATTGAATAAGTGTCATACATTACTGATGTAGGCGATTTCTTTGGATGCTTCGTTGGTAAGCTTAGTCGTCGTCTTTTCTCTGGAATGTCATCACTGATGCTGCTCCACCCATCAGTATCAGAAGTATCCAGCTGGTTCTGATGAAGCTCCTGAAAGATTTCTTCCGTTTGTGTTTTTAATGCTGTATAAAGTGGACTCACCAGATACTGGGACAGACAAACAACAAAAGTACCATGATGTAAGCTACGCCTTACTTCCCAAAGACATGGTATTATTGTTGCTGACTTAAAATACAAAATTTCAAAATATTATGGTAACAAAGTCCTTAAAAACCTTTCTGGTCAAAAATCTTAATTAGCAGATGAAAACTCTCATAAGCAATGATGTTTCCTGTGCTCTTACCAGAGAAAATGCAGCTTGTACAGCTCTTTCCCAAATTACCTTGCTACCAAGGCCATCAAGACAGATACACTACGTTTAAGAAATAATAGATTTGATACTCCTGTAAGTGTACAGATTAGAGGGAACACTCAGCATATCAACATCTCCTTATTTTAATTCACATGTTTCTGTCTGCTTGTCCTCAACAAAAATTACTAAAAGCATAGGGTTAGAAAGTAAGAGCAGCCCAGACGAAGGGAAATTACTTGTAAAGCTGCCCTTATATGAGCATACTCTGTGCCTTACCTCCATTTTACACTATGATTAGACAGACCCTTGTGCCTGCATACCTTCTCCACAGTTTAATACATCTGAAAAACATAGGGTACAGCTACATCAAGCTAATTAAAGAACTCTGACCTGTGCGAATACGTGAAACAAGGAGTACCAATCTAATCACGCAACTAAAACCAGTATTTCCTAGACTTTCTCCTTTGCACAGATGTAGGTTTTTGTACATTATCTATTTGCATGATAAATAGAGATTTTAAAACTAACTTACCTCTTGTTCTTCCTGAGTTCCAAGCACATTCACAAAAATTCCGCATATGGTACTGATATGGGCTTTTCTTACTTGTAAGGCAGATTCATAGCCAGTTGGAACAAACTCCAGAAAATATTGCAGTATATGGCAAAAAACAGCTTTCAGCTTTTCAGACTGAAGACACCTAAACACATCACCTTCAAACAATGCACAGAGCTTCTCTAGTAGCATATTCAAGTAGACAGGTTCAATATTTTTGTAAGAATCTGCTTCAAAAGGCAGCAATGTCCTCACCAACAGTAAGAGTGGTTCTCCAAAGAGTTCTGATTCTTTAATATCCATTTCAAGTGCTGACTGTAGAATTCCAAAAAAGACTGCGAAGAAAACACTGGCCAGCTGTTCCGGAGGTCCTCCTAAGTGAATTAATTTTACTAAAAACTTCACCACCAAAACTTTAACATTTGGACTGCCATACTCCAACAGGGAGCAGCCTATCCCCCAAAGGATAATATCTTGTCTTACAAAAAACACATCTGCAACAATATCTGTCAGAACAGACATTAATATAACTTCCAAACATTCTACATTGGACATACCCATCAGCTGTAATGGTGCCAATCTTAAATATCCCATATTGTCACTTGTATTGCTTGAAAATCTCTTTACAGTCACTGGCCAGACCAGTCCATCTTCCCAGAGATGCTTTTGTGTATCTCTTTCGTGCAGGTAGATTAAGTCTTGGAAAAGCTGTAGCAAGTCTTTTGTTAGTACTTCAAAAATGGAGCAACTCTTCATTTTAAACAGAAGAAGTAAAGAGCAAATGACATCACAAATGTTCTTGTGCAATGTGTTGCAGTTTGGAGTTGCAGCAATCCGGAGAAGCCTTGTTATGATCCAGTTGCTAAATTCTAAGACAATAAAAAAGAAATGGCAAACAGAAAATTATTAACATAAAACCCAAAACCTGCTATTCAAGTACCTCCTTAGGAGCAGGGTGCTCATCAGAAAAAGAGAAGAAAACTCCTTGAGATAAATGCATTGTAGGCTTAGTAAACAGAAAGCCTTCACTAGGACGCTTCTTCAGCAGATCTTGTTGAAAAAGAGGAAAAGGAGGGGGGGCACATGGTGGGGCGCAGGGCGAAGAGAAAGACATTTTACACTAGATAGTGCCACAAATTTTTCTGTCAAAAACCCCTTAGACAATGAATATGTGTACAGGGTATCTCATCAACATGAACTGGGTAATGTCACTAAGCAGTGGTAATAAGTTCAAACTCTGTCCTGATAAATTGCCATTATCACAAGTGCAAATCAATTCACAATACTGTAAGTCTATAACATTTACTTACTTATAAATACACATCGATGAACTTACAAATCTGCCTTTTCCCCATTTTTGTTCTTTTGTATGATCCCATTGGCAGAAAATTTTAACGTTCCAAATACCAAGCTTTGACATAAACATTTTCAAACTCACCAATGCAACTGCATTCTGTTTCCTCCCGATTTCCATCCACATTTACAAACATAAGTGGGGAAGATTTCATGATATGTTGAATAAAATCAAGCAACATTACAGAACTGGGCTGTGAATCTGATTTCTTAATCAGTTCCAGAGCAACTTAAAAAAAAAATAGGACACATTTCTGAATTAGCATTGCAATAAATCAACTTCATAAATTTTGTTCACATCTAACAAGCAAGAAGAAACTTATTATATAAAATACTATGATATGGTATTAAACTTGTATATTTATCAATTGGGAGTGTGATTTATTAATCCATGAGGATGATTTTGTGCATATTGTAAACCCTCTACATGATACCAAATTGTATGAAGAAAAATATAAATTACTGTTTAAATATTAACATTCTCTTCAAATATTAACACATATTCATTAGCACTACATGTATTAACATTTAGTTAGTGCTACATCCCATTTTTTGATGAGTTATGAACAGCAAATAGTTAACATTTCAATTTTTAATCACAACATTTTCCCTAGCTTTATGATCTTGGTAGTAAAAAAAAATTAATATATCTATCTATCTATCTATCTATCTAAGAGTTGTTCTCTATCTCCAATAAACAGAAGTTTTCAAACAGGAAGTTCAATTTACTGAATTGGAAACTTTGGCAAAATACTAAACATATCTCATGTTGCTGTAGAGCTCCACTGAAACAAGTATCTGAATCACATCAGATTTATCCAAATTCCACACCATTAGTTAGCGCAAGAAGGAATCTATCTTGCATTCAGATAGCAATTAACCAGAAAAGTTACACAGTAATGATAAAACACAACACTTACATATTCAAAAACAGTATCTAAAACAGATTGGCTTTTTGAAATTTTTATTTTTGTAGCATTCCCTTCCAGGACTATAAGAGAATTAACAAACACCATCTGAAGAGTAACATGGGTACAATACTCAAAATTATCAATTCACTAGACAAAATATCAGTCTTGGTGAGACAGCTACATGAAACTATACCTTGGAAACTGTCAGTTACCTTTACTGTGATTCTCCTTGATGCAAATGTACAGATAACGACAAACAATAATTTTGTAGTCTGTGTATTTCAGAATTGTCAAAATGTTGTTAAAGTACTGTAAGAACTGGAACCTTAACATGATTTAAAGAGTACTAAAATAAGGCTTTGCTAGAACTCCAAAATTAAAAATAAAGCTGTTTACATCAAAGTATTTAAATTCTGAAAGACCCTGTGAGCATTACAGCTTGCAAGCTATGTTACTGAAATCACAATACTCCTGATTTTCAATGTTGTGAGCATCTCTATTCATACACCTCTGCCCTGCATTTCCCCTCTCCTTTTTTTCCCCTGTTACTTCACATCATGATAACAAATACTTAATAATGGAGATTATTTTTTAAAATCACAAATGGTATTGTATTCAACTACAAAATCTTTGTTGAGCAATGTAACTTTTCTTTTGGCAGGAATTACTTAAAGCATAAAGCAGATAATAATTTTAAAATATAGGGATGTAATACTTACCAACATCTACATCTGTAAGAATTCTGTCAATGAACTGGCAGAGTATTTGTCTCGGCTTCTGCACAACTGTATTGTATTCTTCTGGACCAGCACTAAAATTAAAAGTACATCATTTTGACGTTATCCATTTTAAAATACAAAATAATTATATTAAGTTTATTTCAACAATGTTAAACACTGAATTTTTTTTCTTCTAGAATTCTTCAGAAATAAACACAAATCAGTTTCTTGTTTTAGTGACCAGCATGTTGCCTATTCCTCTTTCTTATTTTTCAGAAATACAAAGTTTTATGAAGTGCTGAAGATCATTTAATTTTGTTATGCAATTATATCTGATATATACTAAATCCACACCTGAGACATTATGGGATTTATCCACATGCTGCTACCAAGGGACAAACTGGCTTTGGTACAGCAAAAACAAAAAATAAAACTAATAACCCGTTTCACTTTTGGAATTAACCAAAACTATTCAACGGATCAGCTGCCAATACCCTGGGGAAGAGGCGTCAGTAGCAACTGCTCAGGTGACTTGCTGATAAATTGAGGAAGTGTGGACTG